CACGGCTGAAAGGGCGCGCATGTTTGGTGTGACGAGGACTCGAACCCGCGACCCGCAGATTGCGAGTCGAGCACCCTAACTACCTGGCCATGACGGGCCGCGTACGGTTTATGCTTTTGAAAATTTACGAAAGAGGAAAACGTTTTCACAAGTTGCAATGTTGTATGCACAACTTTTATTGAAACACAAATTGTAGCCTAAGTATTATGTTTACACTTTCTACTGTGCAAGTACTTGTTATTTCAATTATTTTATGAATGAGAAATATATCATTTATCTTTGATTTTACTGTTCATAGCTAATTATATATAGTTCTCACAATGTTCTTGGAGTGGAAATGACCATAGTTGTATTTTCCTAAGAAATACATAACGGCCTCATTTCTTACGAATGATTGCGTTTGTTCGGACAATTTAAAGTATGTCTCTATTGTTTACGTATTACGACAATATTATTATCACAAAACAATATAACACAAGTTGTTTTTATATTTTTTAATTCTCTAGGAATTTATGAACTCCTGTAGTTTAAAATTATGTGCATGTATCCGCATAGTGTTTTTTTAAAAAAGTGGTGTTATATGTTTATTCTACAAAATAAATACATTAACTTTTTTTTTGGGGGGGGGCAATTTCCCTAGAATCACAGCAGTAATGTCATACTGTTGAAAGAGGCGCCAGAGAAACTGCCATCTTCATACACTGGATGGTTTATGGAAATCAATAGGGGAAGGGCGTACTTTGAAGATGACAGCCTTATCGCGGAGCCTTTTGCAATAGAAGTTACAGTGCAAGATGCATAGTCATCAAATAGAGATGATCAGACGTAGTAACATGGATTATAACGGTGTGGTGAGGCTCCAAAATCGTTGTAATATAACATACCGAACCTCTGTTGCACATATGTCCAGCTTTACAACTTCCAGCCCATTATCAAGTGAAAGAGAGGGTATAATAGTTGATCCTGGTGTAAAGTTGAAACTGGTAAAAGCCCGCACACTATTTAAATCTGTTAGTGAAAACGTGTTGGAACTTCATTATGCTTTGCTTTAAAAGCCTGTTTCAACCAAAATTTGACCTTCAAAGTTCACTAATCTCTGAAGAAGTCGTGCCTACCCTAGACAGATTAATCAAGCCCTAACTGAATAAATGATGGTCAAGTTTGGGTTGTTGCTTGTTTTAGAGCAAAGCCACTATGGGCTATTTGCTGTATCCACCGCCTATCTTTAGATTTTTAGATTATTTACTATATGCATTAGTATGCCAGCTCTGTTTAAACACTTTTTGTTGTGTGTTTTGGAGTGCAAAAGTCCATAAGTTCTGTAGGATTGTTTAATCACTACAGAAGACGAAAAAAAGATAGCGACAGCTGCCTTTTTTAGTGAAGATAACCTATAGATCTTTCCACCACGTCAGAATGGACGATATTCCTAACGCCGAGTCCTCATTCCCACCTTCCAGAAATTTCCGCAGAAATGGTATAACCCAGACATCTTTTCGTTTATACCGAATCCAGTCAGAAAATATTTCTGTGACTTTCCACATGTAGGATATTCCACTGCCATATTTCTCAATAAATATTTGCGACCATTTGAATTGGGTGAAGTGCAAGTTTCTTGAAGTCTTCTAGGAGTTGCTTCACGTTTGAACTGGAGGCTATCGGAAAAAATGAGTAACTAAGTTATAGAAGCTTCTGTTCAAGGATGATGATTCATCTAAGGTGAAGTTTCCAAAACTTGACGTCCCTTGGTGGGACAGCGTTAAGTCTACGGATTTACAACGCCTAAATCCGGAGTTCGATTCCATGACCAGAGAAACATAGACTAAAGACCAAGCGTGTAAACAGCACACATCCCTTGAGCTAGCCGAAATGAAAGTGAGTTTGAAATATTTTAAAAGTCAGTCATCTGATGAGGTTGCCACATTTTACAGAATAGTCTTCTTTTGAGGAGGAACCAGAGAAAATTGAGAACAAGGTTAAGAATAGGAACAATGCCGAGAAAAGAAATGAAGTAAAACCTGATAATGAAACACGAACAATTAAAATTAAATTTGATTTCAAAAACAGTTTGTTATATCATGTTAAAAAATTGTTTATTTCTTTTCAAAAGTTAATTCCAACTGTAATTATGATATACTAACAACTTACTAAAGAATGTTCAATAAATTTTTAATCACTTTAAGTTTGGTTAAACAGAAAACAACAAATTAATAAATTGAATTAACATGTTTATGTTAAAAAAAGTGAGGTGAAAATTTATTATTTTGAACAATGACAAATCAAATAATACTCTATTAAGATTAAGTTGTTGAAACAATGACCAAAATTATTCCAGTATTCGGTTAAAGTCTCTAAATGCTATATCTACTATTGTATTAAATTTGGTATTTTAACATTGTAAACACTAACAGAAAAAATATTTAATTTTGTAAATCATTGTGTATTCTACCACTGTTCAATCCACTAATAGTGCCTAATTATCCAAATTCAAATAATAGAACTATAATGATTTTGAATAAATACACATGGATAATATTTCCAGTAATCCTGCGGCTTTTTTTTTTAATTACCGATAATTTCAAATATTAACAAAGACAGGTGAAAATAAATATACACTGAAAATAATGATGAATCCTTGAAATGCATAAGTAACGGGTAGTAAACTTAAAACCGTGTTCCTCCATCAATTGGATCATCAAAACACTGCTCATGGAAATATTTGTTTGTTCACCTAAACGAAGCACCTCCCGGTAACTCGGCTGTAAGTCTCAGCTTTTAACGCTAGAAAATCAGGTTTTCGATACCTGCTTTGGGCAGAGCATAAGTTGCTCATAGCGCTTAACAACAAATAAACTGAACGACACCTTATGCGCACATAGGGCTAAGTGACCAGACCGGAGGACCGTATTGTTTAGTAATAATAAAAGAACACAATATAGCAATTAGTGAAATATATCACAGCAAGCGGAACAAACTGTCTAAGTCTGATATCAGATAAACTAGTTTCGTCACATTCGTGCGTTTTCTTCGGTCTCACGTTGTCTTCTGGCAGGAAAAAAAAAGGTCAACAAACGCCTACGTGACCCCTGATCTTGGAATTCCCTTAAGGACACAGGAGGTCGGGAAGTTGTTAAGTTTAAAGTGACCTTGGGAGGCGTTAAAATTAAACAGGCTTTTGATTAAACAATTTTCGAGGATTCTTCTTTTTAGGTAGACATCCGTTTTGTATAAAATTATTGTTGATCTCCAATCAATTTGATGGCCAGAATCTCTCATATGAAGAAAAATGGCATTATTTTGGTTTCTACAATTTATGTCTTTTTTATATATATATATATATATATAT